GAACCTACATCATTAAAAGCTTAAATGGTACCTAAAAGTTCATCGAAATCGGTAGGTACATTTTCGTTTCCGATTGCTGAAAGCAGAAGTTGATTTGAAAAAAAAAAAATGAAATTGACACATCATTAAAGCCTGAATAGTGTTCAAAGTTCATCAAAATTGGTAGGTACATTTTCGTTTCTGATCGCTGAAAGTAGAAAAAAAATGAGATTTGCATCATATTCACATCTTTAAAAAAAGTTAGAAAACGAAAATCGGAACAAACCTACATCATTAAAAGCTTAAATAGTGCCTAAAAGTTCATCAAAATCGGTAGGTACATTTTCGTTTCCGATTGCTGAAAGCAGAAGTCGATTTGAAAAAAAAATGAGACTTGCATTAAAAGCTTAAATAGTCCCAAAAGTTCAACGAAATCGGTAGGTACATTTTCGTTTCCGATCGCTGAAACAGAAACCGATTGAATAAAAATTTATTTCATGTTGAATATCTTACAATAGTTTGATCGTAGAATTAAATAAAAATTCATCATTAGGAGTGAAAAATCGGCACATAAAGGATGTTTCAAAGAACCATTTGTCGCCTTCGTTACCGGTGAAAATGTAGTCTTTAAGCAAGTAGAATTTCATTTTAATGTGGATTCTACTAACGTACTCCTATTGAGCGATTTCAGTTTCCTGATGTTTTCTGTTTAACCTGACAAACCGTAAAGATCTTACCATCATCGGCTAGTGAAACTGCTTTTGAATTTTTATATTTATTTTTTGTCCAAGTGTAGAGAATATTCACTCGGTGACCGGTTCGAACTATGCTTCTTCATTCTTCTAACGAGAATTTGTCAAAAATCGAGTTTCAGATTGCTTCCAATTTGAAGAACTATCATGTTAATCATTTTAAACAAAACACGAATCTTTATCTTTCAGTGATAATATGTTCAAAAGTTCGCAAAAATATTCTCGCTCCCAAAATTTATAAAACTGAAGAAAAACCTTGTTTACCAAATTACGCACTAAAAATAAAATCACGAGATGCAAATTTGTATTTGTAAATGTAAAATGTGCTTATTTCCATATTTAGCTAATTTGGCTAGGGCTACAATAATTTCCGATCGGTATTGCGTAATCAAATGCAAGCAAATCTAGCCAATTTAATTAAACCTCAACCAACCGAAAAGTGAGGCACGCGTCAGTCGCGTCATATTAGTTTATCAGAGGCGAACACCTATTTTCGTGGATAATCATTTTTGTAGCCATCATTTAGGGCGATCAATCAGAAAACTTTGCTAAATAAAATCATATTTCAAAACCAATACTGTATATTTGCCACCTAATGGAAAAAAGGTATTAATAAATGCTAATTAATAAATCGATAATTCGAAATATATTTAAGTACTGATTAAACAACAATGCCTTATTGTTTTATATAAGGAAATGAAATTAATATAACATTTATTTATAAAATCTAAAACTTTATTCGTTACAAGCAGTGGACACGGCCCTTTTAAGCTCACCATTATACCCACTAATCGTCCACTTTGGTGCCCCAACAGGCTTTTTGTCATCGGCTATATGGTCCACATATACTCGAATACGTTTGCCTCTTTTTACATCTTTGTCCAGATAACCTCGTAAAAACTTGCGAAGCTTATTTACGGTATATAAAGGAATTAGTACAGCTTGATTTATAAATCAAATCCTTTAACATATTCATTTACAGTATCCGAACGCCAGGGCAGGTCTTTCACAATAATATTGTTATTTTCATCCGACTCTTCCGGGCTGTGATAGCAATTTTGTTTGGTAATAGGTTCCAATTCGGTTTTATTGAATTGGCCTATTAAATGATCATTATTGTTTTTTAGATTGTTGATCATTTTCGTTCTTCTTAGCCTTTTCTGTATCAATAAAATAAATAAATATGGCATTAAAAGATATTTCAGTGTCAACATACTAATTACCTCTGACCAGCGTGTGTTTTTGTGTTTCTTTTTGATTCCTTTTTTTTTCCTCTAGTTCTTTATTGTTGATTTGGTATGTATCTCGCTGGCTACGATGTCTTCTATATATAATTTGATAAAGAATATTTTCATTCACCGGGTAAACAGTAAAGTCTATGAGCTGTTTAATCGTAAAGATTATTGTTCTGGTCACGAATTCTTGTTGAGATTTGAAAGTTTTGCTTGGATCCAATCGGCCTTCTTTGGGCATTCTGCTAATATTCCAGAAAATATCTCACTAAAATAATTTATGCAGTTAATAAAATTAAATAAACCATATGGGCTGATTTGTCTACCTTTAATTAAAATATTGATTTTATTACATTTTTATTATACAAAATACTATATAATATACAGTAAATTGGGGATGAGTATTAAAAAATTTTTATTTAATGTTATTATACTATAATTTGGTAAATATTTCTTTTAAATTATCGCAGTTTTCAGAATTCTGTATACGTTATAATTACTTGATGATTATGATTACAGGACAATAACTGGACAATTACTGGACAATTACTGAGTGATTATGATTATAGGACGATTATAGGACAATTACAGGACAATTACCAGACAAAATTGTCCAGTTTTTGTCCAGTAATCGTCCTATAATCATAATCTCATAATCTTTTTTATTAGATGACCTGCAGGGGGTAGCACAATTTTGAAAAGCGCAATAATATAATTCTTAGCACTTACTATATATGTTAAAATTTTGTATTTCAACTTTAAACGTAAATATCTCCAGATCCAGTGATCCAATCGGCAAGCTCTTTTTTCGTTCATATAGACCAGATCAAGGGCTTTCCAAAGAGCCTAAATTTATAAAAAATGGATTAGTGGATCCCAAGATATTTGCATTTAAGCATGTTAAAAAGTTTGTACCTCAACTTTAAATGTAAATATCTCTGGATCTAATGATTCAATCGGCGAGTTCTTTTTTCGCCTATAAAGTTCAGAACAAGGGCTTTCCAACGAGCCTAAAATTATAGAAAACGGATCAGTAAATCTTGATATATTTGCATTTAAAGATAGTAATACAAACTCCGACATAAAATAATTATTTTTATTGTTTGAAAATACCTATTATGATACCATCTTTTATATGATATTTTTATTATATTTTTATAAACATTTATAGCTGCTAAGACTATATAAATTTTTATTTTACTTTATATTTTATTAAAATATACTTACTTTTTAATAATATATGTTAAAAATTCCATATATATAAGAAATGGGTTTTTTATTAGTGAAATGGGTTTTTTCACAGCTTTTTTACATTTAATAATTTAAGTTTCGCAAATGTAAATTTTTGTTCAACTTATTATTTAGTCAAGTGATCATCAATCAGATGATTTTTTGGTATTACAAAACAATTTTGAGTAACAAAAATTATGAAAATCAATTTAATAACTCCTTTTAAGTTTTAATGCAGAGTAAACAAATTAGCCCATATGCTAACATATAAAGAAAATAAATAACGATAATTTAGAATTTTATTTACATGTAAAGCCTCTTTCAAATCTTTGTCCATTTCGTCCAAATTTTTATACCGCTTGAATCCAACGGATTCGGTATTAATCAACGGGCCATCAGAACGTCGACGACTTAAATATTTATTACCATACTTTCTTCTGCGTCGTCACTTTCAGAATACATTCGACGATCTTTTGACTTTTTCTGGTTTATGGACTTTGCTGCACTCTCGTCATCGGAAGTTTGCTGATATTTTTTTATATTCTTTCTTTTAGCGATATTATCCTTTTCTTCATTCTCGGAAATTCGCTGATTTTTTCTTAGATCTTTCCTTTTGACGTTATTATCCTCATCTTCGCCATCGGAAGTTCGCTGATTCTTTCTTATATCCTTTCTTTTGACGTTATTATCCTCGTCATCTATTTTGAAAATTCGCCGATTTTTTCTCGGGTCCTTTCTTTTGACATTATTTTCTTCTTCATTGATTTCGGAAATTCACCGATTTTTTCTTTTGACGTTATTTTCTTCTTCATCGATTTCAGAAATTCACCGATTTTTCCTTAGGTCCTTTCTTTCGACGTTATTTTCCAGACCTATAATGTAAACTGATACATCCCGAGTTGTAAAAATTCCTTGGATATGCATCACAAATTCATTACCTTTTTTACGCCTGTACCCCTTATATTTCTCTCTTAACGAATCCGAAACGGAGGTGTCAGAATCGGTATAAGAAATTAAGCCCGAATCACATTTCGTTTGTTGGCTTGACCAGTTATAAAAAGGCTAATAATAAATAAATGTAAATAAACTAACTGGTATAGATAAACTCCAGAAATTACTTACATATTCGCTTGTTTCTATTGAACATGTTGGGCATATTAGTCAAAAAAATAAATAAATAAATAAAATAAAAGTCAGCTAATGAGTAATTGACTTCATTTTAACGCTCAGAGCTTAGTGTAACTAAAATTGCCTGCCGAAATTAGGGAGTTTCGGCATGTCGAAATTGTCGAAACTATTTCGACATTTTGACATTGGCTCTCTGATTTGCCGAAATGCCGAAATAGTTTCGACATGTCGAATTGTCAAACCTAAAAATATTACGTTTCACATAATAACTAGCATCTAATGATCGTAGAAAGATGCATCATAGCTCGTTGAAATCGTCTCATAACGACGAGTCGAATGGTGGTTAGATCGTCTTTCTACGATTACTGGATGCCGAGATATTTAATGAAACGTCAAAAATCAGCATTTTGTATTTTGCGATACTGCACCATTTAACGTTTCGCCTATTATCTCGGCATCCAGTGATCGTAAAAAGATGATTTAACCACCATTCGACTCATCGTTATGAGACGATTCCAACGAGCTATGGTGCATCTTTCTAGGATCATTGGATGCCGAGTTATTATGTGAAACGTCAAACGGCGCAGTATCGCAAAATACAAAATGCCAATTTTTGACGTTTTGTTAAATATCTCGGCATCCAGTGATCGTAGAAAGACGATCTAACCACCATTCGACTCGTCGTTATGAGACGATTCCAACGAGCTATGGCGCATCTTTCTACGATCATTGGATGCCGCGTTATTACGTGAAGTGTAATATTTTTAGATTTCGACAATTTCGACATGTCGAAACTATTTCAGCATTTCAGCATTTCGACAGGTTTTAGTTTCGACATTTCAACAATGGCCTGTAGAGTTTCGGCAGGCAACTTTAAGTGTAACTATTATGCAAAATTCATTTTTTAAGTATGAAAAGAATATAAGCCCAGAGGTTAAAAAGCCAACAGATAGGCGGATAAAAGCCCAGGTGCATAAAAAGACCCAGTCATCCAAAAGGACAAACAGATAAAGTCCGGTTATATAAAAAAGCTTAGCGCGCAAAAAACCTTGAGGCTTATGAAAGGACAACGGAAAAATTTTAAATAATAAAAGCCAAGGCTTTGAAGTAAAAGCCTAAGTATGTAAAAAACTTAACAGACTATCAGATAAAAGTCCGGTTGCATAAAAAGCCAAGGCTTCTGAAGGTAAAAATGTACGTAAAAAAACAGAACGAACAAACGGATAAAGTTCAGTTGCATAGTAAAGCAAGGCTTTAAAAGTAAAAGCCCAGGCACGTAAATATTTGAGGCTTTCGAACGGTTCTAAACAGACAATATTACTTACAAAAATTATATAAAAGAACAAAAAGAACGCAAAATATTAAACGCGAAAAAATGAGGTTAATTTATTTTATTTGATCAATAAACCGCATGGAAAATTGCCAGTTTTTACAATAGTAACATTGGTGTGATCTTGAATTTTAACCATAAAATGTTTACAAAAATTAGAAATAAGGTACCCTGTTACTGTAAATCATGCAATGGAAAATTAGTGGAGGAAAGGACGAGAAAGAGACACGCAGAATTAGAAGCTTAATATTTCCAGATTTGTCCGCTCAGCACATATAAATATGTCCTTTCCTAATCCTAAACCTAACGAAACTCCTGACCAATATGTCACAATGGAAATCGATGAATCTATTATTATAGAAGGATCATCAGGAAAAGTAGTAAACTCGGAAAAAGATTCGGCTGAACAAGAATTAAGAAATTTACCCGAGGTTGATAATTATGAACCCGATTTTGAATATACCTCTCAAAAAAGGTGAAGACAAGACAAGTTTCAAGAACCTGAAGCTGATCAGAATAATGAAAATCCAGGCGATGATGATGATGGTGAAAGTGAAAGCGGTATTTCTCTAGATGATGATGTCACGTTTTTGAGTGATAATGAAACTCCAGTTGAACAATTCACTGCCCTGACTTCGACAATAATTCAGAATTTGTATATCCTAATACAAATATTAATTACGCAGATTCTTGGATACTGATATGGATATATAAGTATCAATCAAGATTTCGCTTGTCGGACGTTGCAATAGATTCCTTGATCAAGTTTTTTCAGCAAATATTAATGGATGCTAATCAGGCGAGATTCAAAAATTTCCCATCTTCTTTATATACTGCGAGTAAGTTGTTACAAGTCGGCAACCAATCAAAAACTTACGCAGTATGTCCAAGTTGTAATAGTTTGTATAATATTGCTGAAGTTGTGGCAGAAGAAGGATCCAAATGCACACATGTAGAGTTTTCAATGCAATTAAAAGGAAAACCTTGTGGAATGGAATTAACCATGCAAGCCCCGCTTGGTAATAGAAATAAAAATCGTCCGAAATTGTTATTTCCCTTGCCGAGTTTGAAGTTACAAATAAACAGTTTGTACCAACGATCAGGAATCCAGCAGCAATTAAGAAAATGGACCAATCGGCACGTTGATAATGGTATGCTAACGGATATTTACGATGGTAAAATCTGAAAAAGTTTTTCTGACATTTCAGGCGCTCCATATTTTACACCAGAAACTGCAGATTCTCACTTGGGAATTATGATCAATCTTGACTGGTTTCAGCCCTTTGAATCGTCCGCATACAGTTGTGGGGCGATATATGGAGTGGTTTGTAACCTACCACGTGAAATTAGATTCAAAAAAGAAAATATGTTGACGCTTGGTCTACTACTAGGACCGAACGAAGTTAGGTTACACAAAATTAACCATTACCTCTTCCCGATTGTCGATGAATTATTAGAGTTCTGGAATGGAATTGAAATTCCTGCCGCTGAAAGAAAAATCTGATTAGCATTAATATGCTGTTCAAATGATATTCCTGCAGCGAGGAAGTTCTGTAGTCATATATCTGCATCAGTTAGTTGTCATAGGTGCTATAAAAGAGCAAATTCAATTTCAAATAAATTAAATTTTGGCGGCTTTGATGATATGAGTGAGTGGTTCGTAGAGAGAAATTTACTGAAACATCGGCAGGATGCTGAGAATTGGAGGTTATGTAAATCCTAAGAAAAAAGAAAACGTCAAGTAAGTTTGACTTCTATCAGATGGACCGAATTACTTCGATTGCCGTATTTCAATCTAATAAGGCATCTTATCATAGATCTAATGCATTGTTTATTCTTCGGAATAGCCCATTAGATAATTAAAAAATTATGGATTGATGGTAATAAGATCACCAAACATGACCTAGAATTAATGGAAAAACGAGCAAAAATCATAAAAATACCTGCAGATTTGGGTAGAATTCCAAATAAAATCATAACCGGAGATGGATTTTCTGGATTTACGGCTAATCAATGGAAATCATTTATTCTAATTTATGCTATCCCATTGATGTGGGATTTGCTCAATGAACCAGATCGAAAAATTTTGGGAAATTTTGTTAGGGCTTGTACTCTATTAATTTGTCGAATTATTGATGATAAGACATTAAGTGAAGCTCATGAACATTTGCTCAAAGTTGCAATGTTAATTGAAGAAAATTATGGTCCAGAAAGGATTACTCCAAATTTCTATTTATGTCTTCATATTGCTGATTGTTGCCGGGATTATGGACCATTATATTCATTTTGGTGTTATTCTTTTGAAAGAATGAATGGAATCCTGGGTAGGTCATTATGATGATTGTTCAATTATTTTAACTTAATATTAATCATTTTTAAATAAAATATCAACAGGCTCTTTTCCTAACAGTCATCGCCAAATTGAACCCGAACTTCTACGTATCATCATGCAGCATTGGAGACTTGATGACCTTATATCCGTTCAATCAAATAACACTAAGCTTGTTGAAGCTTTAAAGCTAATAAAGCCACGGGCAACTTCCAGAAGTTTAGCAGCCTATGATAATTTTGAATTTTCTGAGCTGTGTCAATATAGGAAAATTTTTGTTCAAGAAGTTGATGATACAATTGTCGGTAATGAGCCATTTTCTGGTGAAATGCTCACACCACGTAGAATTCAGGTTGATTTACCTGATAATATTTATCAAATCCTGACCGATTATTATAGTAATGATTACGACTTACAATTTACAACAATTGCCGATTCGATATCATCCAGTTCAAGGGACTCGATTGTTGTACCAAATATGATTAATCAGTTTGGCCATGTCCAAATTGCAGCAGAAATTATCAGATCAGCGATGTCATCCCGATACTTGAAAAATGCGTGTATTTTGGCAAAGTTTATCCAAGAAAACTGAGGAAATGAAACAACAGACTTATTTCCTGGCCAGGTTCAATATTATTTTGAGCATACTATCACGATATCAGGTGAATCTAAAACTCATCGATTGGCATTCGTCAGATGGTACAGACAGGCACCAAACAGACTTATACGATTTTATACAAATATCGATGAGAATGATAAAAGTTCAAATATTGAACTTTGGCAAAATGATTTTTATGATATAAGCCGAGACTGTATAATTCCAATTCATTACATATATAGCCGATTTGTATCTAGAGAATTTGTAACTGGTAAAAAGAAGCTCGTCGCATATAAAGCTGTAATACCAATAAATAGACAATTTCATTTATAATAAATTTAAAATATAATTAAGTTTATAATAAAATAATATTTATTAAATCGCCAGTATGTTCATTTAGTTCTGAAACTCTTTCATTTCTCCTTTTTAATAAGTCTATATTTTGTCATGGTGCAAGTTATATAGACCTTTTTTGCCAAGTGCGTAAAAAAAAAAAAACTTAGGCAAAATCTCTAGTAAATTTAATTTAAAAGGAAATTTTGTGAAAAATTTTATTAAACTGATCATTGTCCAAAGAAAAAAAGTTAATTATTTATTGTTAAAAATTATTAAATGAAATGTTGTAATGTGTTATAAGAAATATAACATATGATAATAAACTTACTGATAAACGAATAAAATCGGATATAATATTGAACGGATATTAGTATTGTAAATCAATTTTTTAATTTTAATTTCTCGCAATAAACCTTTGACCAGAATTTTACTCATAGAGTGAATATAGATAAAGAATTCATACCGATTTGCTGCTACCAATGGTACTATTAATGATGAGGTATATTTGAGAAACTCCGTTAAAATGAGCCTTTCGCGGATCCATTCACGGAAAATGAAAATAATTCGATAAATTCCGTTATTTAATTCCGGAAATATGAGTCTTTTACGGAAAAAAGGTGGAATATAAAAAACAGATCGACCTTTTTATAGGGTTACCTAAAATGAAGAGAAAAAAAGTAGCTTTCACCCATATGCTTGCCAATAGTTATTGATTGTTGAACCATTGTATCCGAATAGAATGGTTACCATTATTTGAGTTTTGGGCTTAGTCGACACATTCGACGGAGGGATTATTATTTACGGAACTAGTATTACCTAAAAAGGGAGTTGTTTCCAAGAGTTAGTGAAACTGCGTTACCCATATGCTGATCGATAGTTGTTGAACTGAAAATGTTGAACTGTTGTATTCGAATAGAATGGGAATACAATGCAAAAAGCTAAGTAAGACTTATCCTTTGGATCCACAAGACCGGTATTTTAGCTGAGCGTTAACCCTGCAGGAACTTACCATTATTGGCTTCTTGAACTTAATACAAACGTATAGCCCATCTTCGCTGCCCTCGTAAACCTTTCTTTATACGACTATTAAAACTTTATTTGCCGCGCTTACAGATATCTTACTTTTTATACTTCCAGATCTTATAAATCGACGTGTTATTAATCCTGATAATCCAATTATTAATTTATGAATATCTGGTGATGGGAAAAACGTAGGACGTAAGGTTAAACATGTGATTATTACATGTGTAATATTAGATGATATTACGAACCTGCATAAATCTGATTATCATTATACAATTATTTTATATCCAGGAACTGAAAATTACGAATTACTACAAAGAATGATAGAACCAATATCTAACGAATTAAATGATTTGGTATTGAATGGATTAAGAGATTCAAATGGTACAATATGGACAATCAATCCATATTTTAGTAGTGATTGGAAATTTATGGCAATTGTACTTGGCTTTAATGCTCCCAATTCAAAACATTTTTGCCCTTGGTGCCTTTGTACAAAAGAGAATATTGGAAATAAACACAAGGTTTGTGTTATTGAAAAAACTATGGATCAAATTAAGTTAAAGCCACCACCAGGGCATGTTAAATCTCCTTTACTTCAAATGATTCCTTTAAGTCACTATGTTCCAGACGAGTTATACATAATGTTGCGAATTTGGGATAGGTTATAGGATTTAATACTACAAGAACTCAAAACACAAAATCAATTTAATGATTTAGCAAGAGCAAAGATTCTTGCCAAAATGCGTAGGATTTCAATTTTATTCAATTTTTGGCAGGAACAGGGAACGCAAAATTGGTCTTATACATCTTTAATGGGAGGAGATAAGGAAAAAGTATTAAAAAACTTTAATTTTCGAGTTGTTTTTGCTGAAGAACGTGCATTTTTAATCAACCAATTATGGAGAAATTTTTATGAACTTTATAATAATATGAAATCTCAAAAAATTAATCCAAGTCACTTTGCAGACCAGGCAAAGCAATGGTTAGATTTGTTTCTTACTCCCTTCCAAGGTAAGCCCAATACTATTACTTTCAAGATGGGTTTATATCGTTCAAAAGATGTAACACCTTACATGCATGTTTTAGTTCACCATTTACCCGAATTTATGGAACAACATCAGAAGTTTGGATTAAGTGCTTTTTCATGTGCTCCTGTTAAAAAAAAAAATCACGATCAAGTTTCTGCATTTTTTCGAAAAACAATGAAAGATGGCGGAAAGGGTATAGAAAGAAAATCAGCTATTTTTGAGATTTTACATTATGAAAATAGATCGTTATATTTTGCTCAAAAGGGTACTATAGATAAATACTTCAAACCACAACATATTCACGTTAAAAAATTAAAAAAATAAAATTCATGTATGTACAAAAAATATTTTTTTTGTTTTATTCATGTACAGTAAATACAATACATAATAAATTCTAAAACTCTATTTTAGTTTTTCTAATGAATATATTATATACATCTATGATAATCAGATTTGTTGTGCACAAAATTTTAAATTAATATATCCTGCCGAAGTTCTATTATTTTTTGCATCTTCTTTACTTTTCTTATATTTCCACTCAACCGTTAATTTAGGCAAGTTAAATCTTTTTAGCCTATTTTTTAGAACCCGATTACCATGTTGATCAGAAAGACTTTCTTGATTAGCATCTGCTTCAGCCTGCGCATCAAATAACACAACAAAAGTTTGCTAGTTATTATTAAAAAATTTGCGTCTCCAATTTGGATTATTAAATAAATTAGCTACTTGTGTATACATGTCTGGACCTTGGAAAAAACATTTATAACTACCAGTCCTATAGTTATAATAATGAATATAACCTTCAAAGACTCCAAAAAATAAACTTTTCAGACAAGGTAAAGAAATAGTTTGTCTACCCGACTTAGAAAAATGATCTTTTAGTTTACCTTGAATAACGTGAACAAGCTGTGCTTTGAACTCGTTTATTGCTTCTAGAGGTAATGTATACAACCCTTCATGCCGCGTATTGTATTTTTGTACAATAGTTTTATGTCGTGTTAAACCAGATTTACTTCTGTATAAAGCCTTACAAACCGTACATTCATGTAAAGTGAAGGAAGTAGTTGGTGAAGAAAGTGGAGTGGGAATAGGATTTATTTGATTACTTTGATAGAAACTTTGAGAAAAGAAATTAACAAAAGTGTACATATTTTTTGAAAAAAAAAATATTTAAAAAATTATATAAAATAGCAATGAAAACTTTTAGCAATTTCAATATTCTTACTTGTCAAAAACACTTGGTCAAAGGTTGGAACAATTGGTTTGGTGTCAGAACGATTGGTTAGACATTAAAATACGTTAAAATACATTAGAACGATTGGTTTAATCATAAAAAATTTTTTCTCCTCGTGTATTAAGGCAATACTTGCATCAGCTGATAAACCAAGTCGCAAATCACAGCTGCAGAAATCAGCTGATCAGTGGCCTTAAAAAAGGCCCAATTACAATAATACGCGCATATGATCACAATTAAGATCAAATTACATTATAATTATGCGTAGAAAAGTGGTATATTTTTTTACATAAATAAGGCAATTATTGAATTTTTTTTATTTATCTTTTTAACCCAATTTTTCATCATAATAAATCAATTTTTCATCTATAATAAATGGCCAACCTTAATATTTTAAACGTCAACATAAATAACGTACTTTCTAACTGGCCACCAAAGCATTAATTAGGTAAATTTGTATAAATCTTATAATAAAAAAAATGGAAAGTTAAAATAGTAACTTTATTTATATTAATTAGATACTGGCGCTTATATCATGATGTTTTTGAGAATCGTTCAATCCAAGATTATTCAATAATATGGGCAAGAATAGCAAAGAGAATAAGTAACAATTATAACTTTATTGTGACCCAAAATTATTGTCGCAATAAATGGAGGGCGTTAAAAAGAGGTGAATCTTTTACCATTTGTAATTAATTTGTGAATATTAGTAAATACTTTATTAATATATTTAATTAATAATAGATTTTGAAAATCTGACCAGGATAAATAATGGTTTGTATATTTGAGGTTAACGTTAAATTTCTCAAACAATTCACATAAAACCAATTTTATTTATTTTAGGGAATCCTGATAGTCACCTGATCCACTCTCCCAACAATTACAATATTCACTTTATTAATGAATTAAGCGATGAATTCTGGCTGCAAATTAGTAATTAATTCGATCTTAATTATGATACTTTGTATATACACTGGTCAAAATTGATGCTATCGGGTACATATCGGGTACCTATATATCAGTGACTAATCAGATACATATCGGACATTTATTACATATCGGGTACCCGATATGTAACATATCAAATATGCCTAAAAATCAGATTTCCGATATCTAAACGATTAGTCACTGATATGTAACACTGAATCAATCTTACACATATCGGGTAC